ACAAATGGGTCTTGGTACAAAAAAGGTTGAGAACCACTGCCCTAGAGCACAAAGACAATTAGAGGATGGATCTGGGGTGTTTTCACTCTAGTTACTGGTAGCAGTGGGTGCAATTATACACCTGAATAAAACACTTATACACACAGGCTGAGTCCTTTCTTGAAGTTGTACTATGTTATTTGCTAGCCCCAGCCCCGTTCTGGTAAGTTCCACAAATCGTGACATGGGAAATAATTAGAAACATATGGAGACCAAATGTGATGCTTTCAATCAGCTTTCAGCTTTCCCCGCTCCCCAGCTTTCAGCAGCTACGTCCAGTGGGGGCAGCACTTGCTGGGGAGCGGGGAAAGGCAGGGTATCTTACCAGGGAAATGTCTGGCAGGGCATTGATGCTGCTCTGGACCCCGTCTCCACTTCCTTCCAGGTCTGATGTATTCTAGAAGCACAGTGGAAAGGAAGAGAGTCTGGTCACTGCGCTGTGCAGTGACTCAAGGCAAAGCAGAGGCACTAGCATGGCAGGGAGCCTGTCAACAGGGCTAAGGGGTGTTTAAAAACCTTTGGTCAGGTGGCAACGGTCTCAGCAAACGGAGGTTTGAATATCAGTGCAGAAGGTTTGTCTATATGAAAAGCTTCTCTTGCATTACAAGAAACACAAACACAACAGACAAGGAAAAGCAAATAGGAATTGTGGCTGAGGGAAACACAGAATGCAAAGCAAAGGAGTGGGTGCAAACAAATGCAAGTGATGTGGGGCATGCATGTCTCTGTATGTGGCCAGCCCTCACTTTCCATTGAGAATCTCACCTTCACTGGGAAGAAATAATTCTGTATCTTTCAACCATATCCACCCTTTCCTTTCCATTACCCCCACGCCATTCCCTGGAGAAACACCATTTCAGAGGCACACCCACTGCAGCCCCAAGTCCCTGGTGCCTTTGATCCCCTTCCTGTGCTCAGCCAAGCCACTTGAAGGAGTGATCCAATCACATTTTCACCTTCTTAGGCAGGGAGGACTTCTGTTCTTTGTGAATATTGAAAGAGTTAAATGCAGATCCCCCTGAAAACCTCCCTGACACCAAATCAGCTCAGATAGTCTCAGATGCGAAAGAATGCCAGATGTTTCTTTTTCCTTTTTTTACCCCCCAATATAATTATAGTCAAAATGTCATTAGAAAATGTCAAAATACAGCCTGGAACATGTCAACACCATCAGCAGAGCCTGAGAAATTAGCAAAAAATTAAATTAGTTTGTCACTCTCACTCTGTAGGGGGGAGGGAGGCTGTCAATCAGGAGGGGGTGGGGAGATGGATATTATCAGCCAGCGGAGACAGGAACCAAGTGATGAATGCGTGGCTCATTAAAGCTGGGAATTTGTGAAAATGTCATTTCCAGGCATGGCAGGAGTGACTCTGTATGGGGACACAGCTGCTAGGGGGTAGTGGAAGGGAGACAGGGGCCTTAACAACACCTGGAATCCAGAACATGGGTGAATCCCCTGGGGTGCCAAGTCCATCCCAGCAAGAGACATAACCTTCTTTCCCAAAGCAAGGCCCATTAGTTTACCACCATTGTTAACTTGAGTAGAGCAGCCCTCCACAGTTAAATATGAATCAGGGCATTAGCACTCTCTTGTGTCTGGATTCTCACTAACCTTGTTGCTTGTGAGTGTGAACTTGGGTCCTACTGCTTAGGAGTTTTATTCAAGTCGCAGGCTGGGAGTGAGGTTCTGGCAACTGTACCCTCTTCTTGTACTCACACGCTTGGAGTTGAATCCTGGCACTAATAGCCTGCAATGTGCAAAGCCCCCATTCCTGGTGAGTGTGACTTGCAAAACCAGTGCTCCTTTCTGTGCAGGAGCCTGTGCTGTCTCAGGTAATGAATGTTCGGCTGACCTCTGTTACATCGACATTGTTTAGCAAAGTCAGCAAAAGTTAAAGATAGAATGACCATATTGGTGTGAACATAACAGGGCTCTTAATATCACCCAGGGGCTCTGTTAAGATGGTGTCTTGTGAATAGAAAGAACGTGGGACTGGAAATCAGAAACTAGGCTTTTGCAGTGTTTGCTACTTTGGTGATGCAATTTGTCACTGACTCCAGGGGGCTGAAAGGAGTAGGCTTTGCTGTCTACCACCCCAGTCATGTTTGGGGACCACGTCATGCATTTTCACTCTCCTGGGCCTTCTGATCCTGATTATACTAAACCAGAGAGAGAGAGAGAGACCCAGCTGACATCCCCATCTCCAGCACCTTCAGAGGAGTCCTGTGTGGAATGGGAGACTCTGGTTCTCTT